GACTTCCTTGTTCTGCCCTTCACATCTCAGTTTAATTTATTTTGTTGGGGAGGGCACGGTGCTCACCACTGAGTTGCTAATTTATTGTAAATGAGGATGCATCTGTAAGATAATGATTATACGTTCAGGAATAACATTTATTGATAATTAAGTGTTTCGTTGCTTCTTTGCTTTCTCCAAGTGGAATAAATAAATATTTTAGACATAATCAAGTTTGTTTTCTCTGTTTGGGTCAAACAGACATGGCTGTTGAAATGAATATACATCTTTAAAATACTGCAAATGAGTCTTGACATCGCTGAATTGTGTTGCGTCCTAGGTACATAGGCTTGAAATCCAGACTCTCCTGTGATCAGGAAAATCAGTTTTGTGATACTTGAATTCTGAGTCCTTCGGGATTAGGGAAGGGACCAGCGGGAAGCCAGGATCTGAAGTGATGCAGTGCGTCTTCCCCCTCCCTTCCCCGTGCAGCAGTCTGCATTTTAATTCCTGTCTCCTCTGCACCTCTTCCTGTCTGGGCAGTGGCAGGGAGTGGAAAATCGGAGCGACAGTGAGTCTGCAGTAGCACTGGGCCAGGAGTTCTGATTGTTACTGCGTGGTGGACCAAGCAGAAGTGGGGAAAGCAGTCCTTGGCAGGGGACTGAACCCAGGGCTTCTAGGTGACTGCACTTACCTAGGCACCGGGTGACGTCAAACCACTCTCCTCCGGCTCCTGGAGGGGTGCCCTGGACGGGCACGGACTCACCCTCTTTTCTGGTGGCACAGATGGGCATGCCTCATTTGTGCATGCTCTCGCGCCTTCCATTCAAAGCGCGTGTCTGATCTGGCTGGCGCGATCTCGTGGGGCCCGTCTGTATGGGGGCGGCCGGAACCCGCCACCTTGCTGCCTTAGCTCCCGGTGGCTGCCGTGCGAAATGGCCACCAAATGAGGGCTTCAAGCAGCAGAAGTTCACTCTCTCACGTTTCTGGGGGCTGAAGTCTGAAACCAGGGCGTCCGGAGGACCACATTCCCTCTGCAGGTTCTGGGGCTGGCCTTCCCTCTCCCGGCTCCTGGGGGCTCCCGGGGGTTCCCGGCCTGCCTTGGCCGGCGGCCTCATCCCTGCAGGCCTGCCTCCATCCTCACGGGCCATCTCCCTCGGAGTTTCTCACCTTCCTCTCCAAGGCACAGAACGCCTGCCGTTGGATGGCGGGCCATCCTATCAGTGGGGTGATTTCTTCTTGAGATTCTGAACTTAGATTTGCAAAAGCCTTTTTTCCAGATTACATTGCATTCATAGTTTCCAGGGGGTAGGATGTGGACATAGCTTTTGGGGGCCACTGTTCATCCTGATTAGCAGTGGGGTTCTCTCCCTGCCTAAGAACTGGCCCATCCTGGCGAGTTCAGGGTTTGCCTGTTGCCTCGGCCTGAGTTCAGGCCAGAGGGGTGGCTTCAGAGACAGAGGAGACCCCAGAGTGACTCATAGACTAGATGTGAGGGCCGCGGGGCGGGGGTTCTGCACAGGGGAGATGTGGGAACCTCTGGCCTACCCCTTGAGAAGAGGGACACGACGCTGTGTTGGCGTCTGTGTCCAGCACGGTGCCTGGCACAGCGGGGAGCAGGTTTATGCCCGAGGAGGGCCCAAGTCAGTCTCGAGGGAAGGCCATGACACAGGTTAGCCGGCCGCTCGGACCCTGGAGGAGCAGAAATGGCTCCTTCCGTCATGCTCGGCCAGCCGCCGCTGTGTGTTAGGGCCTCTGTGTGTCCTGGAGACCCAGAGTGAGGAAGGCCCCTGCCCAGCCCTTGTCCTCGAAGCCAGTCTAGAAGGTTCCTGCATCCTCTGCCATGCCACCTCCCCCTCCCCCGGGGACCTTTTGAAGGCATCGCGCCTTGGTCCCTTCTTCTAGAATCTGGCTTCTAGAAGCGTGGCCAGGAAGGGGATTAGCCTAAACGTTGCCAGTCTCCCTCTGTGTGGTGCAGCAGCTCCTGCCTGGGTGAGAACTCTTGTTGCTCAGTTGCGTCCGACACTTTGCGACCCTGTGGACTGCAGCACGCCAGTCTCCTCGGTCCTTCACTATCTCCCAGGGTTTGCTCAAATCCATGTCCATTGAGTCAGTGGTGCTGTCTAACCAGGTTTTCAGGCCCCTTTGAAGGGGGACTTGGGCAGCCAGCACAACAAAGCCCAAAGAGAAATCATTCGGAGACTTAGCTCTGGGTGTGGTCTCCTCCAACCCTGTATGTAACTGTGGGACCGAGGGCCAGAGAGAAGGCTGGTGTTGTAGCGCTCTCTTCAGGGACCTGGTTTAGAGGGGTGTATGGACCTGGTGAATTGCTTCCTGTTGGGCCTCATTTTAAACAAAATAACATTGTATCCAAAGACACTAGGAGAAACTTGCCAACTCTGACCCTGTGTGGCAAAGGCTTGTATGTGCCCCTCATGACAGGGCTCACAATGGGTCTGTCCTCCAGCCTTATGTGTCTGTAGTGGCCTGGGCTGGGCTGCATAGGGTGGGAACACTGACCTGGTATTTGGTGTTTGGTATTAATTACATGGGCTTCCCTGATGGCTCAGGTGGTAAAGAATCCGCCTGCAATGCAGGAGACCTGCGTTCGATCCCTGGGTCGGGAAGATCCCCTGGAGGAGGGCATGACAGCCCACTCCAGTATTCTTGGCTGGAGAATCCCCGTGGACAGAGGAGCCCCGTGGGCTACGGTCCCTGGGGTCACGAAGAGTCGGACACGACTGAGTGACTAAGCAGAGCAAGCAAATAAATTACATAGCCTCATCAAGATTGTGATAGCCGATTCTGTGGTCATCCTTGCCCTCTGTTTTACTGGAGATTGAGAGCAGGGAGTGGCCTTTTCCATTCCTTCCCCAAGGAATCTTCCAGATCTCACGGGAGCTGGGATGTAGGTGTGCAGTGCCCGCAGCAGCCTGTTCTCCGCTGTTCCTTGAAAGATGGTTGGAGGTCAGGGAGAAAAGCATCCTGAGAGATTTTCTGTCCTCCTGGGATTTCTGGGGCCCAGAGTAAACAGAAGCTTGAAAAGGGAGCGTCTGTATTTGTTCTCATTGACAGGAAGCACTGGTTATCATAATACTCCAACAGCTGTTCTGATTTTCGTGTTCCTGGTTGGTGTGCACAGGCTTGTGTTAGGCCAGGCTCATAACTTTGGGGACGATAGTGTCTTGGTCAGTTGAGCTGTTGGGAAGATCCCCTGGAAGAGGGCACGGCAACCCGCTCCAGTATTTGGGCTTCCCTAGTGGCCTGTCTGCAATGCAGGAGACCTGGGTTTGATCCCTGAGTCGGGAAGATCCCCTGGAGAAGGAAGTGGCAAGCCACTCCAGTATTCTTGCCTGGAGAATCCCATGGACAGAGGAGTCTGGCGGGCTGCAGTCCATGGGGTCACAGAGCTGGACACGACTGAAGCGACTTAGCATGCACATAGACTGGGCAGCTTACAAACAACAGAAATTTATTTCTCATAATACTGGAGGTTGCAAGTCCACGACCAGAACATCAGCATGGTCAGGGTTTTGGTGAAGGCCCTCTCCTGGTTTGCAGATGGATGTCTTATTGTATCCTCCCAGGGCAGAGAGCACAAAGGAAGCAGGCTGTCTCGTGTGCTACATAAGGGAGGGCACTAATCCTGTTCATGAGGCCTCCACCCTTGTGATTCAAACGTCTCCCAAAGGCCCCACCTCCTAACACCATCCCGTTGGGGTAGGATTTCAATACATGAATTTGGGGAACAGAAACATTGAGTCCATGAAGTTCTCTAGGCAAGAATACTGGAGTGGGTTGCCATCCCCTTCTCCAGGAGATCTTCCCGACCCAAGGATTGAACCCGGGTCTCCTGCATTATAGGCAGATTCTTTACTGCCTGAGCCACTATGGACAGGGGAGCCTGGTGGGCTATATAGCCCATGGGGTTGCAAACAGTCAGAGACGACTGAGCAACTAACACTTTCATTTCCACTAAACATTGAGCCCATAGCAGAGGCCTGGGTTGTGACCCAAAGGGGTCCCAGCATGCAGCCTCACCGCCTTAGGTTGCAGGTGCAAACCTTGAGGCTCGGGGGGGGAGAAGGGGCTTCCCAGGAGGATACATATATTTGATGCAGAGTCAGGACTGGAGCCCAGGTCTGCTGCCTCCCCATCAGGGTGTCTGTGCTCCTGCGTGTGTCCGCTGTGGCTTCGTTTCATCCAGGGCGGGGTGCCATCCCATGCGTGAGTCTGTATGTCAAAGCGCAGCTTACCCAGTGGGGTCACAGATGGGGCAGCGTGCCGAACCCTGTTGGGGGCAGGAGGAGAAGAAAGCGAGGGCAGAAGGGTGGCGAGAGGCACTCAGGATGCTGAGCAGTGGTCGGCTGCCAAAATTCTTCAGTGCAGCTTGTCTAGCAAAGCCGGTCTCCAGCCGAGTAAATACAGCAGATAGCTGACGGGCTGACAGCAGGCATCAAACAGTCTTAAACTGCACCAAATCCGCAGCGCTTTTGAAGCCACAGTAGAAAAAGGATGCCTGCGCAGAACAGAGGCCTGAGACTTTTAATCGTTTCTTCCAGGCCTCAGGATGTCCTGATGAGGTATTAGAGGAAGTAATTCAGGAAGAAAAGGACAAATAACCGCCTCCGTCTGGAGGCCGACCCGAGGGCTGGCCACTCCAACGAGGAAAGGGCGAGTGTGGCCCTGCGGTCATTGGCTGTGGTCGTCCCCCGCCCGCCCGCCTCCCGCCGGGAGCAGCGGGCTCTGACCCTTGTAAATAACAGACACGTAAATTTCCTGTTTGCTTCCGGGCAGATGTAAACCACATGTGCCCGCCGCATGGGGGTGAAATCATTAAGTTTTCCTCACTGTGGGAAGGGTGCGCAGTACAAATTAGAAATCATTTCCTCAAGCTGGAGGCCCTACCCAGGGATCCATTCCCTGCCCTCCTCCCAGAAGCCTGGTCACCGCCGCAGGACATCAAAGAAAGGGAACCGAACTCAACTTCTCCTCTCTTTTTTCCCTCCTTTTTCCTCTAGGGTTTGGCTTTGTCACTTTTGAGAATGAAGATGTTGTGGAGAAAGTCTGTGAGATTCATTTCCATGAAATCAATAATAAAATGGTAAGTTGGTGGGAAGGAAATCTAAAAAGGAGGGGATGTATGTGTGTATGTATAACTCATTCTATTTTGCCGTACAGCAGAAACTAATATACTGTTGTAAAGCAAATATACCTCAATAAAAATCAGCGAAAAAATTGTAAGTTGGTAGGGGTTACATCAAAATGCTCTCCCTTCCCCCATATACACCCCTCGTCCTACAGACCGCTGCAGCCTGGTTATGCCGGAAGGTGGGCAGGGTGGACGCAGGGACCAGACCAAGAGTTCAGTTCTGTGAATGGCAGGAGTTGACAAGGTTTTACCGTAAAGGATCAAATAGGAGATATTTCCTGCTGTGCAGGAGTACAATGGACTATCCAGCTACAAAACATCCACAGACAGTATATACAGGAGTAAGCAAGGCTGTGTTCAATAAAACTTTGTTTAGGTACACTAAAATTGAAATCTCGTCATTTTCACATCACCAGTTTTTATTGATTACATGATTGATATTTAAAAATGCAAAAACTGGGGACTTCCTTGGTGGTCCAGTGGTTAACACTTTGCCTTCCAATGCAGGGGGTATGGGTTCAATCCCTGGCCCCGGATCCAAGATTCTACATGCCTCCAAAAAAACAGAACATAAAACAGAAGCATTATTGTAACAAATTCAATAAAGACTTTAAAAATTGTCCACATTAAAAAAAAAATTCTTAAAAGAAAAATTAAAAATCATTCCTAACTCTGGGGCTCTACAAAAGCAGCTGGTGGACTCAGATTTGATCTGCAAGTTTTAATTTGGCAACACCTGGTTTTGGTATGCATCTGCTGTTTAGCTTGGGTTTTGAGAGCTCTATCTTAGATATGAAGTTTATTGCCCAAATTACCTACCTCTTTAGGCCCTGCTGGGTAATTAGCATTCTCCTCTTCTAATCAGCTAGTTTTACCCTCATGATCAGTTGTTTTGGCCTCCTTTTGGCCTTTTAAAGTCCTTTTTCCTAGAGGACACGCTCGACCAGAAGCAGGTTGGATCATTGAAGTTTGGGTAGCCAGACCGACCGCCCAGAAAAATGGCCACCAGAGGGCGCCATACCATGTGCAGCTCACGCATGCCAAACTGGAAGTCAAAACGCCTTTCTTCCAATTGAGTAGGTGGGTGAGAACCCCCTTCCAGTTGGCTCCAGAAAGATGGCAGCCCAGCAGGTGTTTCGAGCCATCAGCAGGCCTTGAGAGCCAGAACATTTGGAGCCAGCAACACCTCCAGCCCCAAGAGAAGAGAGAGGGTGCATTTGTGTTCACTCACAGCTCTAACTTTGATATTTTCTTTCTTTAGTCAAAACATTCCTTGCTTCTGAAACATACATTCAGATACACATTGTATATTGGTCTGATATGTGTTCACCAACTTTAAATTCAATAATAGAGCTTTTAGTGTGGATAAGATCAAAGCAATCTGCTTAGCATGTGGTTGCTACAGGCCTGATTCAATATTTGACTTGCTAATTTTTTCCCAGGGCACTAAAATAATATTGTTCGTATTGTTCCTAACCATCATATGCATCTGAAATGAAAATGCTGTTTCTTTGCATCCTGTGGGCTGGAGGCATCAGCTCAGGCATTAAAATGGTACCGGGGGGGTGGGGGTGGAGAATAACCGAGGTCCCCTCACGGGCTCCCACGCCCTCCAGCTGATATTTCTCTCTCAGTAGGTCAGTACTTGCTATTCTTTTAAACTAAGGAGACGAGGCTTAAAAAGAAAGCTGCTTCTAATGCCCAGAGGCCTTGTCTGTCCAGCCAGGCGAGCTATGACCGGACTCCACTGAGGCCTGCCGGGGCAGTGGGGAATAGGGAGGGTCGCCCAAGGCCCTGAGAGCCTCCAGTCCTGTCCTGCCAGGACTTCACGGCTCGTCGGGAAGGCCCTATGTCTCCTGGCAAGAGGCCTCGTGGTGCTGCCGCAAATGCATATGTGCGGCCCTTCACTGTTGACTGGCTTGGCGACAAGCCTGAGACGCAAGCGGAAAGGGCTTCCTCCTCCCCACTGCTCTGGGGAGACAGAGGCCCAGGGGCTATGCGCCCGGGCCCCCTGGGTAGGGAGGGCGCATAGGCCTTGGGGTATTGGCTGCCAGGCAAGCTGTGCAGATGATCATTTGGCTTGGAGGTGGGGAGGTGGGGAGGTGGGCCCCCTGATGACACGGGGGACAATCGGAAGCTAGAGTTTCAGCCCCAGGTAACCTGAAGCTGGCCTGAAGCCAGAGAGGTTTGCAGCCATTGTGCCCAGTCTATCGCATTTGTCCCTTTCTTTTCCACAGAGGTGGAAGCCAACTGTGGAGGGTGCAGGTAATGGTGTGCAGAGTGTGAAGTTTCTGTTTTCTGTGGAATCTGGGGCTGGTTTTAAGAGAAGAAGCAAGAATGGAAATAGGCAAGAGGCACGAATTGGGGGCAGACGGGTCAGGATCACAGGAGCCAATGGAGGCATCACTGTCGGTGCCCAGCACAGCCCCACCAGGGACAGGCCCGAAGGGGGAACTTAGAGTTGCAGGAGAGAGCAGCGGTAGGTCCCCTGGCTGAGCTCCAGTGTGACAGGAGGGCCTGGGGTGACCACCTCGCAGGGCTGACCCCACGAGCAAAAGCCCCAGCTTGGGCTTGATAAACGTTAGCTCTTGCTGTGGTCCACAAGGCCACCAAGGAAAGGACTTCTCCAGCAAGCTCCCGTCCTCGGAAGAAGGGTGGAATTGAAAGCACGTCGGTAGAGGAGCCCACATCCTGAATTGCTTTGGGTTCTGTGATACTGGTGTCTACTTCTAAGACTCAGAGAAAAAGGAAATGAATTTAAACTGTGCTGTGGACAGAATTCAAATGAGAGATGGGGAAGACTCTGAGAGCTCAGAGACTACCAAGCAGAAACAGGGGCGGCGGTGAGAACAGACGTAGGAGTGTTTTGTAAACTGGAGTGCGCTCCAGCACTGTGAAGACAGATCCCCTGGAAGCCTCGCAGTCCCTCTGCGGGTGGAGCAGGAACAGCGTGGCGGGGGCCACCTGCACCCCCCAAGCCCTTGCAGCTACCGCGGTCTCCTGTTCACAGGGAGGAGAGCGTGCACTGTGGTGAGTCGCAGGCGCAGGACTCGAATCTAGCTCTGATTCTCCTGCGCCCGGCACTCGGCGGCCCCTGTGTAAGTAATCGTGGAATGAAGAAAGGGTTAGGTGAGGGACCTGTGACATTAAGGCATATGGTCATTCCCACAGCCATTTCCAGGTCCCTTCCAGGATCTGGAAGGGCATCTGATTTGGTTGTTGAATCTCCTGGGCGTTTAAAAAAAAAAAAAAGATGAAGGTCCTTGTCTGTGTTCAGGACAGCCAGCACCTGATGCAGGGGCACGTGCTGCTACCTGCAGGGGATCAGAGAGGCCAGACAGAAGAAACTCCCCCTGCCCCCGCCCCGGGGAGGTCAGGGTCATGGCAGGGGGATGGGCAGAGGCACGCCTGGTGCCCCCACGCAAGACCCCAGGAATTGCCAGTGTTTGGGGAAGCCATCGCCACCATCTCCTGAGTGCTTGTGTTATGGATGTCGTTGGATCCTCACCCACACCTGGTGAAGGTGCTAATTATTATTGTTTAATTAATTTATTTATTTTAATTGGAGGCTAATTACTTGACAGCGTTGTAGTGGTTTTTGCCATACCCTGACATGAGTCAGCCATGGGCATATGCTTGACTGATACGCAAGGTGAGGCAGAGAGAGGAGTCGGGCAGCTTGCTCGGAGCCACACGGCCAGTGAGTGGCTGCAGCAGGTCCCATAGGCCGCTCCTCTCGTGGCTGGAGGGACCTGGAAGGGCATCGTCTAGCTGGGCACCAGCCTTCCAGGGCCGCTGACTGCCCCTTGCAGCAGCCACGCGGCAGCCCAGGGGGTTCCAGGTTCTCCTACGAGCATGCAGAGGACACAGGCTCACTCGGGGCCAGGCTCCCGACTGGGAAGAAGGGCCAAGCCTCTGGGGGTCCCTGGGGGTTGCAGGCCTCTTCCCCACTCCCCGCCCCCGACCCGACCCGAGCTCAGGGCCCAACCCACGAGACCTGGTCCCGGCGTCCGATCGGACACGGAACGGAGCGCAGACGTGGCTCCTCACGGTCAGCACATGGGGCATGAGTGGGCCGCCTGGTGACCGTCCAGAGGGGCACCCCCCCAGCCCCCAACGCCAGCCCACCAGCACGTGCAGTAATAACGCCTCCCTCCTGCCTGGGCCTGATTAGTCACCAGTGCAGCCTCCAGGGCCTCTGACAGCTGCGGCGGGGGTGGGGGGGACTGACAGAGACCGCCCTGGGCCCCCTTGGGGGCCTGGCTCAGCCACCACCCCAGGAGTCGGGACCAACGCCAGCCACAGCGGATGAGGGCTCAGGGTCCAGCTAGAAATGTGCCAGGCAGGGGCGCTTCCAGCCTTTCCGCGGCTCTGACCCGCTGCAGGACATCAGTGCTCACCAGGCAGCTTACACTCACGCAGTCGTTGTCCCACTGCACAGAGGGGACAGCAGGGCTCACTCAGGAAGGGACTTCCACCACCCACGGCTGTAAGGGCAGTGCTGGGGTTTGAACCGGTGTCCTTCTGGCTCCAGGTCTGAGTTCTCCCCACTCTACGCTGCTGCCGCCTTAGACAGACCTCATCATGGAAAAATCTGGACAGATTTGACTGGTGGATATGAGGGCAAGGTTTTATTTTATGCAGGGATTGCTATAGGATCCCTTTAAGCATCCTTTTCCTTGTTCCTTTAAGGCGATCCGATGTGTGAAAATTGCTAAGCAAGCTTATTAGGAATGCAGAGTATCAGGCCCCACCCCAGATGTGCCAAGACAGAATCTGCATTTTGACAAATCCACAGTGATTTGTGTGCACATTAAAGTCTTAAGTGCTCCGGAGAGGATCGTGGCTAACGAGATAACATGGGGGTTTGGGTCATAAATCATCCATCCAGTGTCAGGAGGAAGGAACCTGGGAGTGAGCACGGAGCCAGCTGAATCTGGGGCTCTCAGCAC